GTTGCCACTTTTTAATGGAGCCTACGACCACGCCCTCCTCAGCTCAGGGATAATGTCTCTGTCAATGATATAACCCATATTTCGAATCCGATTTCTCACCAGACTCGGGGGCAAGAGGGGGGGGGGTGTAAAGCCCGTTGATCGTTTATTGTTTACGTGCTTTTGCACGTGCATCGAATTAATCGACCCGTTCAACTTACGGTATCTTTTCTTGTGATTCAAACATTTGTATATCATCATGTTGAGTTTTTGAAGTTACGCTCACGAAAATGGGTGTGTCCGCCATGTAAAATGTCAGTTCAATTAAGCATTAAGTTTAAAACGAGGTCCTCAGTAAAGTAAAAAAGTCCAAAAAACAAAAGGCAAGGGTCATTTACCCGGATATATAAGCCTGGGGATGTGTTTTCCACTGTTTTGACAATTTTCTTTTATTTTTAGGGTATTTATGCGGTGTTCCTACTTCATGTCCTCCATCGTTTTTGTAGTTGTTTTGGGCACTGTTCGGCTGGGAGGGAGCATTTTGCACTCTCGCTTGTTCTTCTTGCTTATACATGTTACCAACAAGCTGACACCTGTGAACCCTTGGGGAGCTGCGGAACGACGAGTCGCTTTAGTTACAGAAATTTGCCGGTCTTCATAAGGTGATTTGCCTCACTGAGTACCATTTGATTGCCCCCACCAAACCGAACTGCACCATTTCTTTATTATGATGACTGCTGTTTAAAGCCGCACTTCACACTCACAAAGTTAAGCGAGAGAGCTGAGTTATGGGTATAACCTCACCTCAGACGGGACCCGAACCCACACCTCACGCTTGCTGGACAAGTGCACAATCTCTTACGCCGATGAGCGTGAGGTCAGAATCGAATCACGGATCGATTCCGCCCAAAGCAACCGAGCCTTTCATACCTCCGGAACCGGTGAACAGAATCATCTATGAGGAAAAGTATCCTGACTTGTACACCGGCTGGTTCTCCAAGCCATCGCATGGGTGAAGGAAGTTTGAATCAGAGGCCACTACGGTTGCGTGGCACATCTGAAGAAATATTGGTGCAGGCCGAAAGCACTGTCATTTTTTGATTGGTGGAATTTACCTTGCTTTTGCATCAAAGGGATTTTTTGAGACTTATGGGAGATAGCTTGGGATGGGGGGGTCTTTGGTGGAGAAATCCTTCCCACCGCCGTAACGTGCCCAAAACTCACCTCTCTTCTAATAACTGCTGCTATTACTGCTGAACACTCCCGATATTAATCCGTAGGGAAGCGGGACAGGCCGGCTGAAAAGAAAGGGGCTCATTTGAAGTACTTCCATTAAAAGTCCGTCAATCGCAGCGTAACTCCTGTCCTGCACAGAGAAATTTGGACGCTGTTCGGCTAGGTAAGGGCATAGAATGTCACTTAACTAAGCTTGCACAGAACTGTGAAGACCTGTTATTTCCTATGACCAAGGTTTCTTACTAGAGGCTACACCGTAGTTTACAGGTGTGACCAAAGTGAGACCTGTTAGTTAACATGAACTGACCAAAAGGTCTCGAAAGTGCAGAATGCCACCTCCAAGCCAAAAAACAGCCGAAATCGGTTCGTTTTCCCGGATCTCGATGCTTTTGACAAACCAGGAGTCCTGCACAAGGGGCCCTTATAAGACCCTCCCCCTAGCCGGCTTTCGCTCTTGAAAACCATTTACCAATTTCTTCAGCGTTGTTACATTCGTTTCGAGTTCACTTTTTTTGGCCCCGACGCAAGTGTATCACAATGTCTCCACAGTTAATGCAATCGATATTGATTCATTAAACTCTGATGAAAAAAGCTTCAGCGCTTCAGCAACGGGAAAAAGCAGAGCTGGTCTGGCCAAAAGCTAAGTGGCAGCAGGGAAATGATCTGGCCCGGGTTTGAGTCGAATTCTCTCACCAACAATCACCCCGATCACATGGCATGGAATTATTCTTAGGATCAGGGTCGTCTATGTTTATCCCTGGACGAAATCTCATAAAACCCTCGTCGTGATCAACGAACACCATGTGTTGTCCTTCACACGAAATTCGTATATATTGTTGTGAATCCAGCGAGGGTGGCTGCCCTGGCGCTGAGGGTCGGCACGGCTGTGATCGGGTGCAAAGGCGGCGCCGGGTGTGTGTGTGTGTTGTGTGTGTGTGTGTGTGCGTGTTGTTGATAGATAACTTTGATAAATGCTAGATGTTTTGAGAAGTTGGAGGTTGATAATCCTCGACCAAGCAACAGACTATTTGGTCGAAAGGCAGCTCAGCCCCCACATACACACACCACATATACAGCAATCGCACACGAAACAGCCTCTGAGTCTCAGTCTCATCCTACCATCCATCCTCCACCCCCCGTCGGCGGCAAGTCTCATTTCTTCAGTGCCATGCTATCATGCAAAATGTTCATGCATAGCCTTTTTCTATTCATTCTTACATCGCAAAAACTTCTATATATGACACTAGTTACTCTGGAGGTTCCCCCTGGAGCTTCTTTTTTTCAGACTCATACAAATTCCTTTGCTTTCATTGCGACACATCTACATAGACGTGCCCAAGAAGTCGCTTGAATTCCTCTACCCCAAGCTAATTTACGCGCGGCAATTGTTTATTTTTACCGGACTCTGCGCGTCAGCTGAAGGGAGGGGCCTAAATATGAATCAACAATAGAATGGTGCCCCCTTTAAGCCGTCATAATGCCCCTTTTCTGGTTGGGAATCATTAAAGCAACCATTCCCGCTAAAATTCATACTACAACCCGAAAATGCGGGAGGTCGACAGAATCGTCCCAGTAGGTACCGAGTTACCTAGAGGGGCATTTAAAAGGACGACTGAGTGACCAAATGGGATTCATCCGAAAAGAATAAGATGCTTTCTTTGAAAAGTAGTTCACCCCACCACCATTTCCGGAGCTCTCTCTGACTCCTTTACCCTCTAGAGGCTCAAGAAGTCCCTAATCTTCCTCCACGATATGCTCTAAGTTCTCCAAGTCCACGGTTCGTAATTCCTTTCAGTGCCCTTCCAGAGTTACAAGAGCGCCTGCCAGTTAGTTTATTTTGTCTGTTTTTTTCCGCTCGTCCGCAGCAAGGAGAGCTTATCGGTCAACCAGGCCCTAACATTTGAAGCGTTGCCTTCCTTGCAGCCGTCCTACCCTTATATCCTCCATTATTTGAGGAGGAAAACGTCAGATATTTCTGACCGGGAGTATTGATCAGCCATCCAGTACATTTCGTTCCTGATCCATCTGCTCAGAATCAAAGAGGGCAACCTTAAGCTTGACGTTTTGTTCATTTTCACCGCGTTCCACTGGCAATCCTTGCTAGCTCTCAAAGGATGTTCACCGCCTACGCGGGGCCTTTGCTAGCCACGAATACTTGTGTTCGGTTCTCAACAGACGGGTAGGTGATAAGCAACCGCACCGTCGGGATAGCTAGGAAATCAGAAAGCTTTTAGATGGAGCCACACGCTGACGAGTAGAACTGGAACAGAGCTCATTAAAAATCCTTGCTCCGAGGCGGACGTGCCCGCAATGATCCTCCCTTCTCTCAGACGCACTCGTGATGAGCCACACACTGACTATCCTTCCACACTATAGACCATTGACCTGCCTTGCCTTAGCCAGGCCCTTTCAGATTACTTTGGAGCGCGCACTGGCTAAGAGCTGCAGAGGTTTTCGCTCCTGTGTGCAAAACCCGTCCAATGTGACTCCAGTGAGGGGTTTTTTGTGGAGAGCATGGTTAAATGAGCCGGTACTGGGGGTAACTCTCGAGGTGCAAGGCGTTGACGCCCTAAATCACTTTCAGTTTACATTTTTCAAGCAGACTGACAATGACTGCTCATGTAGCTGATCTAGGGTCCGCATGAAAATCCTCTTGGAGTCGAAGCGGCCGTGATGTGTAAGCCCGGATGATGATGGATCCTTTCCCTTTGCTCAGCCACCGTCTGGCTTGACATGCCTGTGTGGAGAGGGGGCCTCTCACACTATGTGGGGTTGAGAGGAGAGAAAAGGTATTCCCAGTCAGAGAATGGGAACTACAGACGCTTGCGTTTTTGACGACGCCCTGTTTATGGAACATGGTTTCGGCACAGCGCGAAAGAAAGTCCAGGACAGATTCTTCTCTGAAGATCTCTGATATACTGCAGGTCATCCAGGCTTTGGAAATGGGAAGATCAGGTCCAGAAGTAGAGTGTAAATGGCTCATAACGTTGCTGTCGAAAATGATGCTGCCCTCTACTAAACTGATTCGCCCAAAAGTACCTGGAACCCAACGAAAGAATATCTGTCCTTATTTCTGAATCTAGCCTCTTGGGGAAACGACCTGGACAAGGATTACTGTAGTAATGATCTGTCTAATGTCTTCTTGACCGCTTCCCGGACCTCAAGAGTCCTAACTTCTAGAGGATGCTTTCTGTTCTAAGGGTTCTTTAAAAAACGAAAAAGACGCCGGCTATATTGGACATTAGAGTTACCTGATACCTTCAGGAAGATGATGATATTAGGTCTAACGTTTTTCAGAAATATCACCACAAATGCAGTGAGACCTCTCAGTTCCTTGAATCTTCCTAGCATATGAATCTTCTTTCTATGCTCTCTCTCGGCTGTCCTGCTCAAACGATCCCCTCTTATCCACCGTGTTCTTATCATTTCCTCGGCATCAAGAGCTTCTTTGTTCAGATAACAGTCACTAAACTGCATGGATGAAGGGTGAGTTGGGCCAGTTCCGATTTCATGCGGCGCACTGGCCAGGAATACTGTGTTGCCGGCGGCGGCGGACGGAATTTTTGATGCGCAGATGTTCGCCGCACCGCATCTGTCGCGTGCCGCGGCGATTCGCACCAAAGCTCTAGGACCTGGCTGAAAATTCTAAGGTGTTTTGCCGCAACGCCATATTCCCGTTCGCTGTACGATGAGTGCTTCTACGGTCAGAGTGCGATAAAGGTAATTTATCACTACTATGCAGGTTAGTTGTTGTGTTGGTCTGATAGCGTACGCAATTGCAAAGGATGAGTCACTTGGCACGGATACCAGTGCGACAGATTCCAAAGAGAAGAACTATCGGAAATATATCGGGGAGATGGACTATGTGAGTAGGAAGGAGCAGGAATCAACTTCAAAAAAGCCGGGTTCTTCCACCTGAACAAGGAAAATCTTGAATATTTCAGCGGCTCCCGTTCAAAACGCGTGTCAGTGAAGCGTTCGTTGTTGGTCAAACCATTCACGGTGGCCGGACCGGTTTTCACTCCCGCAGTCTTACTGGCCGTTGGAACTCTCAGTGATAAGCCAGTAAGGTGAGGACCTTTCCACCACAACCAAGATGCTGCGGAGTAGCTGAATACACGGCGTATCCCAAATTGTTCCGGAAACATTCGAATGCCTTCTGATAATTTCCAAATTCAGAGTTGATTTCAATTTCCACAAAGGCGCTGCCAAAGATGCCGATCTACCGCTGCACTTCTCGATTCGATTTGACGAAGGTTTGTTGATGAAGCGGCGCGCATGGGAAGTCGAATATGATCGATTGTTTCAAAATCAATATTCAGGAATTTTCTCTGGAAAGTTCGTCTACAACACATTCAAAGATGGTAACTGGTCTGAAAATGAGCAACGTATTTCAAATCCTTTCAAGGCTGGCCAGGAGTTCGACCTACGAGTTCGAATCCTTGAGGGAAAATTCCAGGTTTAGTAATGAGAAATGCCATCATCTAGAATAACATTATCGATCGATCGTATTGACCGATTGATTAATCACTTGGTCAGTCTGTTGCGGTGAGCTCTCGTAAGTGATTATGCTGTAAGTAATTTAGTGGAACTGAAACTAATAGTAATATAGTAGATAAACTTTCGAAACAATAACCCTACAAGAATGCAGCTCTTGAGGTGCTCAGTTCGGCTTAGGAGGGGCATTCAGACTTTCGTCGCTGGTTTTTTACTAGTTCCTGTCAATTTACATGTCTAACTTTATGTGGCCTGTACAATTTGTGGTAATCGAAGCTCTTGCTGGCCGCAGCCTCACAGGTTTCATCAGGCCCGATATTCGGCACTGTTAACGAATAGGAAGGCCGCAAAGGCCCGCCACCAAGCGATCTGTACATCGAAATAAAGGACGAAAATGGGACTAATGGTAATGAGTAATCGAACATGCGGATACCTCCCGGGCAAAATTTATCCGAAAGCAAGCGTTTAGACTGCGAAAGTACGCTCCGTCGACGCGCTAAACGACAACGTGCTTGGATGCGCGAGCGACGCGCAAACCATTACAATGTGCACAGCGGTGCAATAGACGGGAAATAGCTATGGATTGGGTATCGAATTGACGCCCCTCCCTTTTCTTGCTTTGGAGATGTGTAATAAGGCAACGCGTACCCTTCTATTCTCCCATACTCTCTCAAAGCAGGACGGGCGGCGTCAGTCGATGCCTGTCTATGTCTGCATTCCATCTGTAGCACCGTAGTGGAGTTGCAACGATAGCGCGTCGACGCGCGTCATCGCGAAGTCCATGCACCTTACGGGGGTTGTAGTTGAGGTGGATGAATGCAGTCATTATACCTGCCAAGGAGAGGGCCTTTAAGGAGACTTACGCTGGAGCGTAACCACTTGCCTTCTCACCAGCTGATGCCGTTCTGAGCCCGAACAGGTTACCAGCCTCCTTCCACCACTGAACTTCCGGAAAACTCACTCCCCAACTAACATCAAAGATAACTAGTGTATATAAACAGGTAGTAAACGGAAGTCGGAATCGAAAATCGGAACAAATCTCTTTTTCTAAACGATCGAAAATCGCTGTAGTGTCTGAACGTTTAACGGGACCAACGTGCAGCTGTGTATAGAGCGAATATAGCGTCGAATCTTTGTCAATTCTTTTTTTGAGTTTTCCTATGGGTCAGAAATGAGGGTTCGCTCAATTTATTGATAAATTTTCGTTTTTCGAGGCAAAACCGCTACAAATTTCTCCAGTTACTGTGCCAAGCTTTCGGAAGTTTTGTTTCAAATATGGGCCGCTATGTGTTTCAGGTATTTGCTAACCGCGCTGAAGTCGGCACATTCGAACAACGCCAACCCCTTGATGGAGTGAGTTTTTGATATTATTCGTAATATTTGAATGGAATTTGGTCTAATGAGCGCTTGAGGGGGGACCAGTAGTGTCGTAATCGGCATTTCCGCAGCCTCAGACGCATTCGCTGCAGAAGAAGAGACCCGGAGATTAGTTAGGCCGTCTAGAAGTCGATTCAATGGCTGATATTATCCCGAACCGCTGTGTCAGGAAGTCGGTAGTCATTTTTCTCGTTTCAGATCGACCATGTTTCGATTCGAGGCGATCTGGTGAAATTGCGCCTCTTCCACTATGGTGGTCGTATCTTCCCGAACCCATACATGGCAGTGGCCGAACTCAAGCCCGGAAAGCGTCTTGACATCTCAGCTCTGCCCACAGGTGAGCTATTCAGCTGACTTGACCAGTTTTCTGAAAGGAATGAGCTGATTTTAGGAAAACGGGTCAATATTAACCTCTACCGCGAGAACAAGGAGTTCGCATTGCAGGTAAATTTTCAAGGCATGTTATTTCAAGCAGAGAGAGAGATACGGGTTGTTATATCCGGAGCCAATAGTAACTTAGAGTCACATTTCGTGACAATCAGATGGGCGGCGATTCACGACCATTTTGCTTTTCTTATTGGTGCGCCCTTCCCCTTTGCCGTATTGGAAGAATGGGCGCACCAATAAGGGAGGCCCAGTCGTGGTGAGACTCCGCCCACTTCGATTATCGGGCACTATTCGCTTCAAAGGTAAATTTATAAGACCCTGTTGTTTCAAAGAGGGAACGTGATAGGCTTCTAATTATTCCAAGCCATCTAAACCAAACTGAACTCATTTATATGATGGTTTGATTGTAGGTATCGATCCGTTTCAACGAAGGTGCCATCGTACGCAATGCGATGAACAACAACGTGTGGGGTAAGGAAGAACGAGACGGAAACATGCCAATCAGCAAAGGAGAAGTGTGAGTGAACTATGGGCTGTTATTCCGCGGCTTGGAGAACTTAAAGGCACGTATCACAACAGCTGAAAAGTGCAATCCATTGCGTGCAGGAGGTAAACAAGTGCGCAGCAGCAAAATTTCTCCCACACTCGCGATTAAAAAAGTGTCTGGCAACGACAAGGGTGGAGGGTGTGAAACAGAACTAGCCACCTTGTGCAGAGGACTCCTCACAAGGTGTGAGAGGCTAGTCGGAGAATAGCAAATTTCATACTCTCGGCACTGTCTGTCCTTTGCGTCTCGGTCTCTCCTCTGGGCGTTCTATATTGTCTCCATTCGCTCATACTCTGTTCAACCGCTGAAATATCGAAGAGAGCCTCACTTTTGAGATGACGAATTACATCCGCTGACAGATCACGCTCACCTCCACACCTGCTAACGTGAAATGTACTTTTACTCATCTTTAGCCTCTTTAAGGATGTAGGGTTCAGATTAGGTATGTTATTGATTGATATTGATTGGTTCAGCTTTGACATTACGATCATCAACGAGGAGTTCTCCTTCCAAATTTTCTTCAACGGCAAACGATTCGCCACATTTGCACACCGTGGATCACCCAATGACATTCAAAGGAGGAGAAAGGCGCGCCCACACTCACGACACCACACCGAGCCGCAGACAACTCAGCGGGACAGTATAAGCCAAGGGCCCGCACGCGCCATGCACTACCCGACAAAAGCACCGAAGACGGGTGCTCGAAATCGATGGAGATGTTGAGGTGAGATCACCGAGGATAGACGATATCTTGGGCATGATTCGTAGTTCGGGATTCCCCTGGCGAGAGCACTGGTTGACAACTTTTCAAAGAATTTGTCCAGATTCAGTTGCGAAATAGGCGAATTGTGAAGTCCTCGCTTCAAAAAAGAGGAGGCATAGGAGACTCTTTTTTCCCTCAGGTCACAGTACCCAAAACAATTCGGCATTGTAATCTGTTCGGGACCTTTTCACAGTCCCAAAAAGTGTGGAAAAGTAGGTTCATTTGGCTTGGTGATCCGTGCAAATTAGCTGGTAATCGTAGACGTTCCATGTCAAATCAATTAGGTCGTGGTGCGAGTGCCTCGCACAGAACGCCGCGTGCAACAACACTTGGCGCTAACGTGTTTGGGAAGGAGGGGGGAGGGGCCACTCACTAGCGCCTCTGTATCCGTTACCGAAAGAGGCTCAGGGTCGGTGTGAGGACGTCCAGAGTCGTCGACGGGTAATCCCAGAGAAAATATAGTCTCTATTTGGCCCAAACATTGATTAGTGGAATAGACACAGAGGGGCTTTTAAGTGATAGCCCCCCCCCTCCAAACTATGCAAGGCTAACCCCTCTCCGGCGACGGACCCTGTATTTACGTTCCACAGTCGTTTCAATACGGTTGTCTGGAAGTGCTGTTCATTGTGTGCCTTCACTTTTGAGGCCCAGGCCCCCTCGAGTCCGCCATGAGGGTATGGGACCTTACAATGGCATTAATGCGGTACTAAGGAAAGGGTTTTGTATTGTACTGAGGACTCCAGGTGCATCCGTTTCGAGTGTGGCATCCTCATTCTTGAACATTCCCATGAGCTTAGTAAACGAATTCCGTTAGAGGGGCCTGTCCAACGTGGGTCTACCCCAGCTCCACCCACTCTTTCAGCGCGGATATTCTCACGATTTTTTTCTATTTCAGGTTCACACCGTCACCATCAACGATGCGCCAGGAGTTTGAAAACTGTTTTACCGTGTACGTATATGATTTAAATAGATTATCCAACAAAATGTGTATATTGATTGATAATAAAGTTCTTTCGATTTTCCCGATATTCGAACGAAATGTTCGTCGGTCACGAAAGATACCGCAGTTCTCTTGAATACCACGCGATTTTTTTCACACAGCGCAGAATTCACGCTGATCGCATAGGCGTAGTCACTTGGACCGCTACTCTTTTCTTATTGGTGGTTCGCACTTTCAAAGAGCTAGGCCGCGGTGCCGCACCAATGAGCAGGTCGCTTTGTCCAAGTGACCTCGCCAATGTGGTGAACGCTGAATATAGTTCTAAATGAACATGACTGATGTAGCCAGCGATTTTTCCAGTCATAATGACATTTAACCACCTTCTTCATGAGTTAGTAAAACATCAGCAAGGCTGTTCACAACCAGCTTGTCTTCCACCGGACTTTCTACCGAAATTTATTCTACATAATATCAAGAGGCGAGTTTTTTACAGATCAGATATTTTGAAGACCGGCCAGGAGAACCATGTTGCGGCGTCGCGTACTCTCGACTTATTCCTTTCGTACTGCCGCAACGTGGACTTCCTGGCCGACAACCGGAATTCGCGAACGTCGCTGTTGAATTGCCGCACCAGAGTCATACTGAATATGGCGGATGCGAACAGGTGAGTTCAACAGCGGTTACCCATCTTCGGTTTTTCTAAGTCGACATGAGAATTATTTAGCTTACCTCTGTACCATTAAGGGACTCAAAAATCGTTTCTTCGAAAGCGCATGAGGGAGAGGAGGGGGGGGGGGTAAGATCCGATTGCAGTCAGGACAGCCTACCTACCAATGTTGCTTGGGGCTCAGGCATACCACTCATCGGTGCGACATGAGCCATTGTCTGCGCTGCGAATCCATCCTCTCATACCATCTCGTTTGCAATTATAATGACTGTATACCGTTGAGAATGCACATTTAGGCAACTGGAACAGTTTTTAGACTCATTAGGTGTAAATTTGTGGGATAAAAGGGTCAGGATCACCCAGGGTTCAATGTATAGGAAAAAAGCAAACTGGACTTTCGCCTGAGTTTGTGTAGCGCATTGTGATACCCCGCCTCTTACTATCGCCAAACAACACACCCTGAACTTTTTCGCTCTGGAATTGGTTTCTTTTTTAGCTCTGTATGTTGAGCCTGTGCTCTGCGCAGGCGTTCATTTATCGATGTATCTTCTGGCGCTTATCTGCGCTAGACCAACGCCAACTTTACGATATCCAATATTGATTTGGTGACGAGTCGCGCTTTTTGCCGATAAAGCAGTGATATTTCCCAGAGTTATCTTTTGTTCATCACGTGGGACGGCTGAGGTCGCGTACATTCATTAAATGGGTAATTTGCTTCTGCTATCCTTATTTTACGGTGGGTTTTTACCAGTTGCGAGGGAATCCGTGAGTCAATCTCGGCATTCGCTTCTGGTTTCATACCAATCGATTCTTCCATTTCGCCAGCGCATGGCCTAACCGCTCAAGACGTTAGATTGGTCTGCTCAATCTCAGTGAAGGACATTTCATTTTTATGGACTGATTAACGCTGCAGTGCGTGTCTTGGATCCAACCATGATAGATGGGGGAGCGTGGGGGCTACCGTACTCCATTCAAAATAGTCGAGATGTATTTTGTGGTGGGTTATTTTTAAAGAGTTGTGGGAAGTCGTCTTTTGTGCTTGAGAAGCGAAGTAGCATTGGCGTGCCACCAATATTGTTTTCCTTAGTTTATTCCGGATCCCGTCCTTGCCCCTCAGCAACGCCGCCGCCACTTTGAGGCGAGTACGGAGCCATTTTCCACGCCCTCTCCAGTTTCCTGAGAAATATTTATTGCACTGCCTCTTACCAGCACTGAGTCGAATTCACGATCGTGACATTCTATGAGAATAGAGGTCTCGCGTGCGCCATTCCTTTGCTAATTTTTCATGATCAAAGTCTATTACACCTTTCGATAGTGAGCGGACATTTACGGGAATCAAACCGCAGACTTGGCCCTGGCCAGCTGAGAGCCTTCTATGCAGCGGGGGCCGGTGAATTGGTACTGCTCATCTGGAAAGAATGAAAAACTGGCATGTTTGACATTGGCAGTACACAGACATTTCCAAGGAGAAATCGTACTCAAGTGTCACTTCAAATGTAGTTAGAATGCATGCTGCATCCCTCCAAAAGCGAGATACTTGACCAAAAGTCTTAGGCTTGCTTTCATACTCCGCAGGGGCGTCCACCCGCGACCACTATTGTCCATCAGCACCCGGGGCGCTACTCAATGGACGAGGAAGGGTCCAAAATGGATATACGAGTCCAAGGACAGATCTAACCAGTGGTTTATCCAGTAGATTCAAGCATGGTAGAGAGAATGCTGGGCAAGAAGGGAGCGACACAGCATGGATTAGCGTCCAGTTGATGAAAACCGTAACGGCAATCTCGCCGCAGCCGTTGCTACTCAGTATTCCTGGCTCACTGGTGCAACGCAGAAGACGCTTTAATATCGTATCTATACTTTGCCATAGTCCCTCAAGGGGCACTGGCGGAGACGGAAGCTGCCGTGGACTGCTTGTAGACGCTGTTGGACGCGCCCTTCCTTAGACGACATATAGGCCTTTTCTTAGTCGCCTAAGCACGCTGACGCCCATGCTACCGAAACGCTGATGGACATTGGTGGTGCTGGTGGGCGCCGTCGAGAAGTATGAACGCAGCCTTATAAATTATGCCTTCAGTCGAGCAACTCTTCTTGCTAGATCCCATCCGGTGCCCTGCTAGCAGCGGATAGGGATCGTTTCCTCCAGCGAAGGAATTTTGCCTGCTGAGCAGCATTTTCATTCCGATTTCCTTCGGAGCACGCAATAATGGTGGAAAAGTGGCCTGGTGTGCTCGCGTGCGCAAAATCAGCCCCCCTGGAATGCCCCAGCGTCCCGTAAGCCAAACAAGACTGAGACCTATTCGGGGTACTGCTTAATTCCATTGCTCTTTTCCTCTCGCAAATCTTCAAGGATTTCTTTTGAGGTCCTCAACAAATCGAAATCTGCAGAATCTGACGAAGCCCTCATTAACATCGTGTTTTCTTCCCGTACGCCCCCCGCTGTATTCCGATAGTAATTGCCTCATGACCCGCAGTTAATCGCGGCGAACTGGCTACTCATAGCGTCATGAAATTTGTCGTTGCCCGATGTTCGTGCGCAACTGCGATTCACTTACTAGGCGTTTCCGTAAGAGTTTCAGCATTTCAGGCACAAAGGGGGCAACA